GTTGTTTTGTAGACGTTTCTGTTGATGACCTTTTGACCTCCTGAATTCTGCAATGAGATTTTCGGGTCGATTCAGCCGAGACGGCCCGAGTGGAGTTTCATGTAAATGTTTCGTACGGAAAAAAAAATCGCTACCAGGATAGGAAGCTGGCTGGTTTAAGCCGTCTAACTGGAATTAGCCTTATGTGTGGTATTGTTATGCTAATGAGCCAGATAAGCACAATCTGCACATACTCAGAAAACAAAACTTTCCTTAGCCACATGGCCACATGTCCTTGCCCCACCCCGAATGTCAATCAAAGACTAGACATACATTATGAAAAATTATTGAATGTATTTTCATCTAAGTCGATAAATAAGATTTACAAAAAATAATACCTCCTAGATTTTATTTTTTTTTAAAATTATTATTTTGCTAATTATTTTGAAAATAATGGAATCGCCTATCATACACTGCCCGATTATTGTTCAATATTCAGGCACAAAGTGAAAAATAATTGGATCGCCATGTTATACACATACTGTTTTCTAATTAGCCAAAAGGGGCACATGTATGCATTTGTGACGTGATTGCTCTATTATTATTTCTGTTTCTCTTATTCTATTATTTAAATATCCGATAATTTTTTTATTCTGTTTTTTTTTTTATCTTACCAAGTGTGTTAAACATAAAAAGTATGTAGAACATCACTAAACAACACTATCACAAGAAAACTCAAAGCAATGTGAGTAATATTGCTGCTGTATTGTCACAACTTGTAGAACTAAAAACTATGACATTCAAAACTTTCCAGAAGTTTAAGTATATTTTGAGATTGAATGTGGTACAAACGACTGGTCAATTGATGTCAAAATAAACCAGGTATTTCGAAACGCTTAATCCATTATAATGACTCAAGCGATTGCCATTTAAATGATGCGTACTACTACAACAGTAAGTCTTAATAAGTGCACTTGTACAAATTCTAGAAGGCGCGAAAGGTATACTTTAAATCATTAAACAATAAAAAGGGTAATAATAGCTAGGGCCAGTTGTATATTTGCATTGTTGTTAGTGTACATTTTACTTCTGGAGGACTTTACCTTAAACACATTTATTAGCAGTGTATACTTTCCACGCTGGTATATAAATACCACTGGTATACAACGCTGATTTAATAGAATGTTCCCTTACAACAATCGTACAAGAGAATATATGCATACAGGTGTTGTGGTTTCATCTCAAATATTGCAACAAAATTCTGATTGCAATACAGGGTATAAATAATAACAACACCTTTAAAAGTGCAATAAAATATCATTTAAGAAATCAGATGCAGGGGTAATTTATTGAAAATTTTGGGCTGATTCTGTGAACTTTTATTTAGTTTAATGTCTTCACAACTTTTTAAATGTTAAATTTCCATTATTCTTATCATCATTTTAATAATGAAAATCATAATTCAAAAGATCAATAATGATCATTTTAATAATAATAGCAATAATAATACTTTTAAATTGTCATCATTCTTAACATCTTCTAATAATAATAATAATAATAATAATAATAATATTAATCTAATCTAATTAGGCGAGTTGATTGGCCGAGCGGTTAAGTCAGGGGCACCGTGACCTTCAGCTCTAATATCGGCGTTGGTTCGAACGGCTCACTCGCCAATGGTTCGGTGGTGGAACAGGTCTTCTCGGATAAGGACTTTAAACCGTAGGCCCAGTGTACGCATTTGGCTCGTGTGCACTTTAAGGAACCCGATACATCATTCGAGAAGAGTAGGGGGTTACCCCGGTGTACTAGTCCCCTGTTGTTAAATGGATATGCCACGTAGGACAGTGATTAAGTTCACTTATTGGCATATCCTTGGCCCTCGTGAAATGAAATGGCCGTGGCCCTCAATGAAATGAAATCGGTAAATAATTACAAGTTTAATTAAGTGCAAAGTTTGAAATAAAAAGTTGTAATCTCTTTTATTACCGGTATATCACATTTTAATGTCTTAATTATTTTACATTTTAATCAATTTAGGTATTATTATTTATTATCATTATCATTTTACGTGGTACAAGTGTTTAAAATCTGTTTAAGGGCCCAATGGAAATACCGTAGGTTTTTTTTATATTTTAAAACTTTCTAGGGTTACCCTAGGAATTATTGTCTTATCTATTGTTCGTAATAATTTATCTTTTCTTTGTTGTTATTTTGTTTTCAAGAAGTATGTGATTTAATTCCTCAATAAAATGAAATGAAATACATATTTTTTATAGTATTTAAGTTCAGATTGAACAAAATGAGAACATTAAAAGATGTAATGAACAAGATGGACACTTGCTGATAGGGAATTCTCTTCTCCGTAATGTGTGCCCTGCCAACAACGATTTACACGTACACTATCGAAGTGGCACGCAATTAGACGACGTCATGACATCCCTCCAAAGCATACATAGAAAAAAATATAATGATATCGCAATAGCATGTGGTACTAATGACATATCTACAGATAAATCAATCGAACACATTGCAGAAGAATTTTAAAATGTCATTCAAAAGGCAAAACTTAAATGTGATATTATCCAGCGTTCCCCTAGAATCGACAATAAAGTCGACATAAAAAATCTAGACACCGTTAACCAAATCTTAAAAGTTATTTTAGATTTAAAAAATGAAACCAACTTCACAAATAATGACACAAATTTCCAATACAGAGATCATAGCCCGGGCGAAGGACGGTCTCCATCTATAGACCCCTTGCAATGTTTACATTGACCTTTCTGAAACGTTGGCGGCGCTGTCAACTGGAGGTAAAAGACTTCGCGGTATAGGAGAAAAGCATGTAAAACAGAGATACTGGTTACTCTTTTTTGTTGTGTCAAAAATACGAAAGCTACATAAATAAAATTTACATATGTCATAGTTATATATATTAGAAATTCACAAAAAATCTAGGAAATTACAGTTTTTCTATTTTTATTCAATTTTTTTTAATCATTTGGGGAAATCGTCGCACAAACCACATACCCGAGTTGCACAGCGCTGAGGGTTATTTGATTGGAAATCTGAATGCTATGTCAATTCAACTTAAACAGTACAGTACTTACCTCATACTATGTGTCGATTAAAAGGTAGCTGGGCCGGTCGCACCCCTACTCCTCCCCACCCCCTCTTTCAGAAAGCAAAAAGAAAAAGAAATAAGGAAAATTAAATAATTGATCGCACGTAAATGCCTCTGTTATTTTTTGGGCGTCTGAAAACACACATTTCGCGGAATAAATTCCCATGGTGTATTTTTTTCATTGGGGTCCCACTATCTCTGGATCTGCTCCCTGTGTTATATGAATACACTTTAAAAAGAAACAAAATCAATTGTATTCTTCTACTTTAATTCAATTTTATTCCTGACATAATGCCACTCACACATTTTTAATAAACTGTTTACATTTTAATATCTGTGAAATTATAATGAATATACATGAATTTAATATATGGTTAGTTAAGGCCACACTTCTTTTTGGTCGTGATAGGATATTTTCGAACTAAAAGTGGATAATTTCATCCATGTTGTCAAATAATTTGAAACTCTAGTTAAAGGATAGCAAATACAGTTCAATGACCTGGACATACGCGCAATCTTTTTGGTAAGAACTGATATTGTTCCACAATACATTTAAGCAGAATTGTCTGCCATGTCGTCATGTTGTTGTGCCATTGGCTGATCAAATCGACAAAAGAAAGAAAGCGATTTAA